CATAGGGTCGCTATGAGTCGAAAACGACTCGACGGCACATAACAACAACAACAACAACCCTAGCTAATTTTACTATGCAAGCCTTCTAATCCTGGGCTTGAAAAGGCGGTGTGTCACTGCCTCCTCAGAACATCACAGTCAGTTTCGGCTCACAGCCCATTTTCACGCTGTTTTTCCTGTAAGGAATGTTGGCAGAGTCTGATTCCACCATTGTCTAGAGGGTGGGGGAGATGGGAAAGACTGTAATTTATTAAGTACATATTAAAATTCTGGCACTGTGACCAGGTGTTTTATATGCACAGGGTAGCTAAAGCAATGTGGATATTTATGGGGATAACAATACAGGGACACAGAGCTCTTCTAAGCTGGTTGAGTTTGTTCTCCTGAAGAAATAAGACATACAATACAGACTCTAGCTTCTCTCCAAGGGGCATCAGCCTGATCTCTTTCCAACAGAGGATTCATATTCCCTTGACATGTACTCCCAGGTGACTTTGGGGACTAGCTCTCCAGACCCCCCTGGTCTACCACTTACTTGAGCCCTGCTCAAAATCAGAGTTAGAAAAACCACCAGAGTTACAGAGTCTTTGATCACCATCTCTCCAACCATCCTCTTGGCACTAAGACCTCACAAATACCTAGAACTGATGGACTTCGAGGGCTTCCAATATTCTTTCCCCTCATATTTCTGTCTGGGGCCCGCTTCCAGAAATGTAAAAGCTTGTTTTGTATGACTCCAAAAGAAGAGAAGAGGAAACAGGTTTGGACTGTGCTTAAAAATGTAATTAGCACCGTATTTTAGCAACATTCTGACAATAATTGCTTCCCAACAATGCTGAGAAATCTGCAGTGCAGACTCCCTGGTGCCACTGTCAGAGTGAGTGATACTGAAGCCCCCGTGTTCCCTGGAAGTAGAGGTTGCAGGAGCTGATCTGTTCCAAAGCTGCCTTTTCTCTTGGAGACCATTCGCAAGGCGGGCATCACAACATAGGTCTAGGCTTGCCTATGATTTACTCTTTTGGGCTGAGGTTTGCCCATATTATCGAGCAATTTCAAGAAAAGGGTGAAATGAGGTGCTGATCCATTGACAGAGCGATTTAGAAATTGACTTTACTTGGGATTGGGCCTATTCACAATCTTCTGTTTGCGGTTCCTTTTACTGACTGTGTGTTTGTAATCCTCATACCCAAGGTAGGGACTTTGAAAAGTGGAATCTGATTGCTCTCGGACACTTCATGCTCATAGTTGCTCCGCTTTCATAGACACTGGTAATGAAACCATTAGTGTGTTTGTTTTTAGCAATTAAACTATTTTCCTTTTTATCTTTCTTTTTGAGGGAGAGGAGGGGTTTTTATAGAGACTACCTGTCTCCATTTTTTAAGGCTGAGTTAAGATCAGTTGTTGTGTATGAGGTTCCTGTGGACACTGACCTTGCTGCAGACCCAGGTCAAAGACAGAGACTGGGATTCGACCCAGGGACCAGTGCACATGGAAACCCAAACCTGAGCTTGTTAAGAGCAGGTGCCTGACTTTAGTCCAGGCTAAGCTCAGGCAACTTTATAAACTCAAGCTTAAATTTGGGCATCACTGTTTCGCTTCACTAAGTGGTTATCTTAGAGTTGCAAATAAGACCCACCTTGTTATCTCAGTGGGTTTTCTTACCTGCATGTTTCTCTTCCATGTAGTAATATTTATCAGAGTAGAAAAGCTGGCCAACAGGACCAAGGGGAACAAGTCTAGACAACTCTGAGAAAGGATGAAGGGGGACTTGGAAGAAACAGGCTTCAGAGCTCTATCCGCATGCTGTGTATTTCTCTGATGTGACAAATTAAAATCAATGACCACTGAATTGATTCTGATACTTGGGGATCTCATAGGGTTTTCAATGGTTGGTTGTTTGAAGTGGATATTCATGCCTTTCATGTGAAGTACCTCTGGGGAGATTTGACCCTTTTGGTTAGCAAAGGCTCAAAATCCAAGAGTCAGACTGTCCAGGAATGGTGAATGAAGCCTCCCCTCCTCACAGCTGGAAGTCATACTCAATTCTGGAGCCCTCTTAACTACATATAGAGGTCCATCTGAGGTTTCCATTTATTATTGTTTCCTTGTTCTCTAGTCTTTCTAAGTGAAGAGAAAGCCCAATTTGGCTTCAGAGTACAGATTCTCCACCCAGACCCCAGGAAAAGCCCCAGTCCCCAGGTTCGCCGTGCCTACTCACGCCAGCCTGGCCCCGCAGTTTTCTCCCTCGATGTCACCTCCAGCCACGTTTTCCGTGTTGACGGACTCTGTCTCACTTGTGGGCATGCTCACTGCAAGAGTTAAAGGAATGAAGAACAAGGTGTTGAGAGTGGGAGGAAAAAAGAAACAGAAGAGAGGTAGTTCACTACATACTTCATCCCAAGGCTGAATGCTGACAGAGAGGAGGACCTGGCAACACCTGATTGCTGAGTCAGGGGCTGCTACGTGAACAGGCTGAGGCCCTGGCCAAGCTGAGGGATTCCCTTGACTCAGATGTGTACTCCTTGTCTAGGGTAACTTTTGTTGCCAAGACACTGAAACTAGTAGAAATGTGAGAGATCACCTAGTGATAAGATAATTTTACCTTTAGGAATCATCCTGAAAAACTGACCATGGGCTCCTAGTCTCTGCCCTATGCCCGATGTGTGTAGGAAAGTAGATACAGCTCAGAGCTGTGGAAGCTTGGCATCTGAATCCATTGCTTGTCATACAATGATTTGATTCTTTTCTATTCTTCCCACTCACTAATTCTATGAAGCTCAATGCTCAAATTTAGAGTTCAATTGTTTTGTAGAAAGGGCATCCTTGCTATTTGCATCAACTTCCAGGTATATTTGGAGGATTGAATTCTTTTTTCTGTTGTACATGGTAAGTTCTGATTTTTCATATCCAGGAACCTATCTGAACTAGAGAGAACTTAAAATAACTGCCCTTTTCCAGAAATATGAAACTAGCTGCCACCCAGGGTGGAGAAACCCATGTGTGAAAGTCATAAAATGAAATCTCTATGTGTTCTGTTGAAAGTATTCAGGAAATTTCTCTACCTTCTAACAATCCTGATGCTTCTGTCTCAACACAACTCAAGGCTGACTTGGGTATAATCATCTAACTCTACTAGAAGGATAGATGGCATAGTGTGTTACATGTTGAGCTACTAATTGAAGGATTGGCAGTTCAAATCCACCAGCTGCTCTGTGGGAGAGAGACTGGAAGCCTCTTCTTGTAAACATTTCCAGCCTCAGAAACCCAAATGAAGGGTTACTGTGAATCGGAATTGACACCACAGCAGTGGATTTGGTTTGGGGTTAACTCCATTAGAGGCAGCCTATCCAGTCAATACTGGACTTCTTTCCAAGTGGGTTGGCTTTCTACAGCACTAGGAATTTTCCAGCTTAGAACCCAGCTCAGTAGCTTCTAAGGAGTAATTTATTTTATTATTTGTTCCTTTTCTAAAGAAAAATTTAATTCAAGAAAATTCTTCTTTACATTGTTTGTCCTTTCATTTAACATGACACAATAATAAGCTCCTTAGCTTTGTTCTTTATAATGGTCACCACATTGCTGATCATGGCTCAGTTCTTCTTCCAGAACAGAACTCTTCATCTAGTGATGGAAACCACTGGAACAAAGCAGCTACAGACTTTCTAAACAGCAAGGTGAAACATCAGGTGATGTGGGATTAGGTAGCAAGTCCCCATTGGGTTGCTTCAGTCCAGGAATGGCTTTATTGGGTATATGAATAATGTTGATGAACACGGATTTTCCATTTCTTTTTCTTTTAGGTAGATGGGTGACATGGAACATATAAAATGGAAAACCCAGAACTTACCATATGCATGGCTTCAATGCAAGGGAAATTTCTCAACCTAGTACTCCTTTCACTAAGACAGAGTGAAAAAATCTTGACATTTCACAAAAGTTTAAAGCTGGATGGAAATCATTAGAAATCATTCAGCTCTAACTTGTCCTCTTCATCTCAAAAGGAGAGGAAAGGGAGGCCTAGAGAATGGCTGTGATGCCCAGCACGCAGGACTGAGGCTGGAGCTCAAGTGTCACGGCTCCCATGCACCATTGTCATCTTGATTGCTCCAGTGTTGGCCAACTTCCTATTTCACACTCTAGGACAAAAAAAAGCTAACTGTGGTTTTTGTGGAAGGTAGTAAATAGCAAAATGGTAATGTGGAATTGATAGCATTTACCCTCATTTCATTGTCCAGAGTTTGAGGGTGCTGGTAAGAGAGATAGACCTTCGCAATGGCTTCTGGACAAGCCTGGGAAGATAGAGCTCTAGAGCCTGCCAGGGCTCTGCGAGTACTCCACATGAAAGACATCTTAAAATGGGATAGCCTTCAGTCTTTCAATGGGTTCGAGCATGTCAGAGATTGTGAGGATGGCACAGAATAGGACAGGGTTCAGATCTGTTCTTCAAAGGGTTACTATGGGTCATACACAACTCAGTGGCATCTAACAACAACAAGTCAGTCTTTCAACCTACCTATCTCCATCCAGCCATTTCTGACCTAAGTGCCCTTTAACTCTCCAGGCTTTATTGTTTGAAGGGCCGAGCAGTGTATAAAAAGTTATCTGCTTTGGGAGCACTTTGCTCTTGGAAAGCCCATTGTGTGTGAATGAAGTGGCATGTGGGTGGTGGTACCATATCTGGAAGGCCCAGCACAGTAGGAGTGATCAAGCCAGGACCCTATTCTATTCTAAGTCAAGGCACTACCTGGAAAAAGTACCAAGCTTGCATTCATAGTGGTATCCCTCCTGGTTGGCACTTTTCTAGGGAAGGATGCCAGCAAGGAATAGTTGTTGCTGCTTGTCAAGGCTGGATGACTTTCTCTATGTCAAGAGGTTATAAGACAGTGGTTTTGAGGGGAGCAGGTTACCACCCCCTCACAAAATACACATACATACAAACAAATACACATACATGTGCACATACTTGGGACCACTGTATCACAAATCATCAAGAGAAACACCCTCCCGTCCAGTCTGCTGTGTACCAACACACATTAACACACAGAGAGCACAGGGGAACATTACCATGGGTTTCTGTGGAGTGACTAAACCAAGCAAACTTCCCTTTCTTCTTATTAATCAAGCCCGCCGGAGTGCCTCCTTTCACAGACAAGATGGTCAGTGTCAAGAACCAGGAACAAGACATCAATAGAGAGCATGCAGTCAGCCACGGGCAAAAGAAAGAAACAAGGAACTCAGCTTTCACATAGAACATCCATTTTCATCTCCGAAAATAAACAACAAAAAACTTTTAAAACAATAAACCAAAAGTATATAAGAAAAAAAAATAGAACCAAAACCCCAAGATCACATAAATTAACAACATAAAAGGGATGATGAATCCTGGAAGGAACCGCTCCAGCAGAGGCTCCTGTTCACATTGGTTTCTCTACATTGAGAAAGGGGTCTTCGTAGGAGGGAGACATCACTCTCCCCTGATTAAGCTTTAGGGTGGTGCTCCTATGAGAAATCCAAATGGGATAAATGCCAAGTAAAATGGTAGCCTTGATGTCCCCTTCACTGCAACCTAATGGTCAGGAAACTTGCCTCTTTCCACACATGGGACAATATTGCAAGACTTCAAGTGTAGTGGAGCCAAGGACTCCCTCACCATAAAGATGGTGTCATCTCCAAGTGGGGGAAAAAAATTCATTTAATTTTTTGCTTCTCTGAAGACTAAATCATCAATTCCATTCAGTAAAGACTCATCAAACATCTTGGGCTTGATCACATCCAAAACACGTGTGAACCTTTTTTTAGTCAGTTTAACAGTGCAACAAAGTCATTATTGTTTGTCAATGGACGTCCTTCCCCCACCCACGGTTTTATTTGATTTTTCTCAAGATGACATTTTATTGTTCTTAGTCTTTGGGACTTCTATTGAAACTCTTTTGTGGAAAAAAAATTCAAAGAAAATCCAGGAAATGCCAAATTTTATATAAATTGTAAATGATTTATAAGAATGTTCACCAAAGGGTTGGAGGTTTGAGTGCACCCAGAAAAGCTTATGATCAGTTTCCAAAACTTGGTCAGTGAAAATTTATGGAACACATTCTACTTCAACACACATGAGCATTCTTGAGTTGGGACTGACTGGACAACAGATTTTACTGGTTATTCCTATTTTAAAATTATCTTTACAAAGGGAATAGATTCAAAATTTGTGGATTTTCTTTCAAAGATGATATCCAAAAGTACACGTGTTTTTCGGGGATCAAGGCTGTCAGTCCAAAAAGCCAAAAGTTTAGTTCATTTAAGGGAATCTAGATAATTAAGAAAATTTGGTTTATTTTAGTAATTTTTCCATCCATTTACAGATTATAGATTATAACTGAACCTATGAAGAATGTGCAAAAGTAGAATTTATTGGATTTTTGAGGAGATTTATCTGTAAGAGAGAACAACTCTCTCAACTTCTGTTGGTTTTGGTCTACAACTGGAGAAGAGTGTGTTAGTGCAAATGCTGATCTTGTGTGTTCTCAAGTCAGTTACAACTCATAATGACCTTAAAGACAGAGTAGAAATACCCCATAGGGCTTCCCTTTTGGTTGGCAGCAGAGAACTTAACTTTGTGTAGCCAGAGCTCCCTGGTGAGAGTGTAAGGACCCTAATCACTTCAAGGAAAAGGGGGGAAGTTCTGCAAAGGGCTTGGGTGTCAAAAGACTTCAGCCTTTTCAGGAAGAGAGGAGTTCCCTCCTTTGGCAGAAGTAACACAAGCTGTGCCTCTGTCAGGCCACTGGGAGGCTGCTGGGACGAGTGGTAAACATGAGTGTCTGGAAGTGAGAAATCTGTCACCATGCATGAAGGCAAGCACATGCTTGGAAGAGGAATAGTCAGGTGGCCCTACCAATTCTCGGAAAGAGCTTCTGGGGAAGGTCAAACCAAGTAGATTGTTCTTTATTTTAGCCTCTTGCCCTGAAATCGAGAACATTTTCAACAGACTTCTTCAACTTTGCTTGTTATTGAGAATTTGAAGACTGGTTCACAGTAGAGAAGAGTCAGGCTTATTTTTAACCTGTATAAAGGCTCATGTCCCAAATCACCATCATCTTTAAAATACATAGCATTGACTAAATATAAGCTTAACTATCAGTATCATCTTTCCCCCTCTTCTTGAAAAGACTATATGAGAAAAGAAAAATTGCACTGGGAGTAAGAACTGAAATGAACGACCTGGTTTAAGATTTCCATCTAAAGAAAGCTATGCCTATTTAGAATGATAAAACAGTCACTAAAGAGAGCATCCTGTAATGACTTGCCTTTTACTTGA